ACATATATATATACATCATATATATATATACACATACATACACTACAGAAGTATGTAATATGCAGCATACAACATATAATGTAAAACAGTGTATAGTCGTAACTGTCTCGAGCTCTCGGGTTTGGGGTTGAAGCCCGAGCCGCCCTTCCGAAATCGCCGGCTCCAAAACGCGTGCATTAGGAGGAATTTTGTCTCCTGTGTTGGCGCTTGCTTTGGGCACATAAGCAAAACTCAGGATACATAGGGATATCCCATTTAAACCCTTGGGGTCCCTAATTGTTGTAATTAGGCTTTCTAGGAGGGCTCCGGGCACGTTTTTCGACTTCTTTATAAGATTCTGTCAAAGTGGTTTCCTTGTCTCAAGGTTACTTTAGGGTTTAAAGTTCGGAGTCGGACTTGGAGTTCCGATTGATGTCCAGAGGCAGGAGCTGAATGAGATCTGAGGGTCCGGACGTTGCGGTTCAGGGCTTAGGGTAGGGCTTAAGGTTTAGGGTGTAGGGTGGGTCTATAGGGTTTAGGGTTCAGGGCTTAGGATAGGGTTTAGGGTTAAGATTCAAGAGATTTTAGCTTAGGCTGGAAGATCCACGGTCCATGAAGTTGGGTTCTTGGAGAATCACGGAACTTTCGTACGTGGGTGAGATCTGGGATGGAAGTCATGCGGCAGCATGTCCCCCATCCCATCCCCTGCACAGCAGGGGATGCTCGCATGTCTAGCAGAGGAGTCTATCATCTGTCCACTTCCGGCTGAGAATGCTCAATAGGGTCGCCTTCAACATGAGAAGAAGGCTCGTCTTCAGAGTACGAGCCCGATGCCCTCAAAGCCAGCATGTGTGTGTATATATATATATATATATATTTGCCCGATGCCCCCAAAGCCAGTATGTATATATATATATATATGTTTATTTATTTATTTATTTAGTTATTTATTTATTTTCTAGTTATTCAATATGTATTGCTTATTATGCATACATACCGACACATGGAAGCCCTCAATGACGTTCAAAGAATATTCCAGCGTCAAAGTGTGTTGGGCTCTGTCTACGTTGCGGGCTTGAAGCTCTCAACAAGACTGCCTACCGCAGCTTGGTCTTTGAGCCTGTGAGCTGGGCCCCATCCATTGGAACTACGGTTCTGTGAGAGGACGCTACAACTCTTTGTGCTTTCAGAATGACGGAACCCTCCTACCAAGCCGACAGACGCGAACCCGCATAAAGACTCGACAAGCTTCTTCAAAAACCTATAGAGCCCCATGGACAGAATATGAAAATCCTAAACCCTGAAACCCTCAACCCTGAACCCCAAACCTGAAACTCTCAACCCAAACTTCAGAAGTGCCAACTACCCGAGATATCCCAGGTCTCCGATGACGGTGCGGATGATGTTCGGCTCCCAGTAGGCCTTGCCATGTGGGGGGGTTAAGGTAATAGGGTTCAGGACCGTTTAGGGTTTGGGGTTTGGGGGTAATATGTCAAGTTTGGGCTATTTTTAAGGGGGGTTTGGGGGTGTCACCACTTTGAAGGGGACTCGGAATGTTGGTTTATGGGGTCTAGCGTACTTCGAGGCACTTATCACCAGGGTTCC